TTGTTAATTCCGGCTAAAAGAGATTGAAAACGTTGTCTGCTTTGAACTAGACCTATGTAAAATGTTCTGAGGAGTCGATTGGTGTCAAGAAAACCGCAAAATTCTTAATAGTTTAAAAGTTATTGTCGAATTCAAATTTTTGCTTTTTTTTGTTTTTACCAGCAATTTTCTCAATAACTATTTATTGCAGAACTATGATGTTTTTTTTGTAAAATAGGAAATTAAAAGTGCTTTCCAACGATACTAAATATAAACAATTATCAAACAAATTTCAAAGTTATTACCTGATATCCTGATATCAAAAATCAAAAACATTAAAATCTTCAAAATTTAACTAAATGCACTTTTAGAGGTCCAAGAGACTTAGAAAAGTGCAAAAATGTTGTAAAGACTTAGAAATTTGTATAAAACGTTATAGGGTTGAGTTAAAAAAGTGTCGATTTTTTGAGTTTTCGTGGTTAAAACAAAACGCTGAATACATTGCAACAGGTTAAAATGCTCTACGATGAGTAATTTTTGAGTAATAGAGTCACGAATAGGGCTTGTATATTTTTCAATTTGGCATAATTATTGTGAAAGTTCAAAACGCTGTGTCTCGTTCGATTTTTATTTATTAACGCCTTGTACATCACGTGGCGCACCTGCCTACTGCGCCTCATTGCCAAATATTGCGTGATTTATTACGGTTCTTTTGCAATTATAATTATTGCAGAGTCGAATTGTGTTAGTTTCGTTAGTGTGGCTCCACCTAACGGTTTCCCACCTAAATCAGTGTTAATCATTTCATGTTGCCGGAGTGGAATAATTAGAAAAATAATTTGTAGTTAGGGGGACCACCTGTTAGACGACGCCCGTATTTCGCGTTAATAACGAATATTTAATCAGTTTCCACAATCGACTGATTTGAATAATAATTAAGCAAAGTTTAATTTGAGATGACTGGTAGCTGTGATTTATTAATTTGTTCTGTATATCCAACTGAGAGGAGAGAAAAAATTAATGAGGCGGTTTAAAAATGATCGGCCATTATGTAACTAGTACAAGATGGAATTGTCGGTTAGAGGTCAACGGATAGTTGATTAATTTATTAACGCATCATCTTGACTTTTTATTACAGGACAAGGCAATTATTTCAAGGGTTAGATGCTAGTGTCAGAGACGGGGTCTTAAATATGTTTTTTGGAAGTTTTTTTCAAAAAAAAAAATCAGATTTTGTGGCTAACGGATCGAGTTTCGCAAGGGTTTGGCCCTCGATAGCATCGTTGAGCCTCCTTTTTGCCTTTTTATTGCGGGAACAGTAATTTTAAGGGGTTAACAACGACCTGTTGATGTCAAACCACTCGTCCAGATGACAACTGTACATTTTTTTTCGATAGGGTGTCTCGAAATTCTTGTTTGATTGGAATTATCGATATCATTGAACGGATTGTGTAACAGCCACTCTGGAAGCTCTACGACGTATTTATTGGTTGTTAAACATCGCAGATTTTTTCCCAGATTACTGAAGAATTTGTTGTCTCGACGAAACGAGTAAAAAGTCGCCGGTCATTTCTAAACAAAGCGCCACAAACAAACCTAAATTAATGAATCCATCATTTCGAATTGTCTTCCATCGCGACATTCCTTCAAACTTATGTCATGTAAAAGTTAATTGTCGGTCGTATAATGACCGAGTCGTAACCGTTGAGAATAAAAATAATAATCGAGCGAGGCGAACGTTTATGACTTTTTTAAAGTGTGTTTCGTGAAAAATTCTTCGGCGCTTTGTTTCTTGGCAAATTACCAAAACGGTAATGGACCTATTAGTACGCCCTAAACTGACAGTTTTATGGCGCGGTGCAGTAAGTGCATTTTTCACGTTGCACCACATGGCAGTGGTGGAGGAGGAGATGTAACGTGCAATTACCGAGGCACATGTGGCACTCCGATATCTATTTTTACAGCGAGACACTGCTTCGATCTAACATTTGGCAGCCATGAGAGCTGCTGCTTCAATCAACGGCGACGGTGCATTTCCTTGCCGAAACCACCGACCCATATGGTCCCCGTTATAGTGACGGTATGCCAGACGAAGAGACGGCTTGCAACCACCACTTCAACCACCGGCCTCGACCTTGCTACAGCCTAAAAAACCACTTCAACTTCTTTCACCAAAGAGGATATAATTCAAACTGTATTTTGGGAATAAATAAAACGTTTTCAATATCCGCTTTTGTTTCCTCAACCTCGAAATGAAACTGCTCGAAGAATCTAATACCCTTCCCAAAATTATCTCAAGTAGTTTTTGGAAAGTACAAAAAATCTTTTTGGGAATTACAAAAAATTCGAAAATTTTATAGAATCCACAAAATTTCCTCCAAGAAACCTATAGGATTTATTCCAATTGTTTAACAACATTTTAGATCAATTTATAGTAAATTAAGAAAACTTTGAAATTGGTCAAAAATGTAAAACCCACAAGAAATTCTTCCTTAAAATTCTCTGAAAATTCTATGGAAATCTAAATAGTTTTTAGACATCCTTTAAAAGTGAACGAAACTCCCTACTACTTAAAAATAGTTTTCAAATATTCTGCTGAAATCCTTGAATTTTGGGGAATTTCTTAGAACTTAGAAATTATTACACACATTTTAAAAACCTCACAAAAAGGTGGTACTTTTTTGGAAACAATACTTGCAAATTTTTTGTAAAAATTAGAAAATTCACATAATTTCTTCAAGAAAATTACCAAACTTGTAAGAATTTTTCTAATATATTTAGTAATAAAAAAATTTAATATTTTTGACATACATGGAATTATTTAAAAACCCACACAAGTCTTCTTTAAAAAGTAATTTTTTCATGAATACTTCTGGTAATTTTACGACGACCTTCAAAAGTACGGGAAAAAATCTCAAAAAATTGTTTGAAAATTTTTGAAATTTTGTGGAATTTTTTCAAAAATGATTTTTTTTTGGAAATTCTATAAAATCCACAAAATCTCCTCACCAAATTAAAAAAATACAAATATAAGATCAGAAATCCATGTAATTGCTCAAAAATAAAAACCCCCATAAAAAAAAATTAACACTGAAAATTCAATGAAAATCTAAGCAGTTTTTAAGACAACCATTAAAAGTGTACTAACCGCCAAGAACTTGAAAGTACTTTTCTGCTGAAACCATTGAAATTTTAGAGATAATGATTGCACATATTTTAAAAACCCCACAGAAAGGTGTACTTTTTCAGAAACAATGCTTGCAAATTTTTTGGAAGTATTTGAAAAATCACAAAATTTCCGAACAAAAATAAAAAATTTGTAGGAATTTTTCTAGTTTCTATTTAGTAAAAAATGTTTTAAGAAAAACTGTAAATTTGGATATACTTATATGGAATTACCCAAAAATGTAAAACACAAGTATTTTTTAAAAACTCAAAAAGTTCATGAAAACCCCTGGTAGTTTTAAGACAATCTTTAAAATTACACGAAAATCCCTAAAAATTACACGAAAATCCACCGTAATCCTTGGGATTCTTTAAACATTTCTCGAAGTTTTTTTGAAGTTCTATAAAATCCACAAAATCTTCTTATGGAAATTAAGAAACTTGTATGAACTTTTCCAGCACTTCGTAAAACATTATAGATTCTTTTCTAAAATTCCCTGAAAATTCTAAGATAACCCAATAGTTTTCAGGACAACCTTTAAAAAATGTACGAAACTCCCTAGAACTTAAAAATACTTTTCAAATGTTTCTCTGAAACCCTTAGAAACTCTTCTTGGAAATTTCTCGAACCAAGCGCATTTTAGAAACCCCACATAGAAATAGTACTTTTTTGGAAACAATGCTTGCAAATTTTTTGGAAATGTCAGAAATTTCAAATAAATTCCTCAAGAAATTTTAACTTAGAGGAATTTTTCTAATATATTTAGTGGTAGTGTTAGGACCACCTTCAAAAGCACACAAAAATTACAAAAAATTCTTTGAAAATTCTTGAAATTTCGTGGAATTTCTTGAACATTTTTCGAAAATAAATTTTTTTTGGAAATCTTATAAAATCCACAAAATCACAAATAATTTGGACAGATGGAACTACTGAAAAATGTAACACTCACAAGAAAGTCTTATCTTTTGGTAATTTTAAAACAACCTTTAAAAATACACAAAAATTAGAAATCGTTAGAAAAGCCGCTCTCTAATCCTTGGATTACTCGAAAATCAAAATTTTTTGGTAATGTCATAAAATCCACAAAATCTTCTCTAAAATTAAAAAACTTGCATGAATTATAACGACAATTTATTACTTAAAAAATTAAAATATAAATATAAATATAAATTCAAAAATCTATGAAGTTATTCAAAAATGTAAAACCCACTAGAGATTCTGTTTTAAAATATCCTGAAAATTATATAAAAACCCAAGTAATTTTTAAGACAACCATTAAAAGTATACTAACTCCCTAGAATCTGAAAATCCGCTGCTGTAAATCTTGAAATTTCTGAGAATTTCTTAGAAAATCATGAATATATTCAAAAATGTAAAGCCCACAAGAGTATTTTTTACAAAATGAAGATTTTATGAAAACCGTAGTAGTTTTTAGGGAAACCTTTAAAATCCTTTTAATCTTTGAAATTTCATTGGAATTCTTTTCTTCAAAAATAAAAAAATTAAAACTTTTTAATTTATGAATTATAATGGAATGAATCGCTATTATTGGGCGTATTTCTAAATTTTAATTAGCGCAGTTGGACATATTTCTAAAAAACTAATTTTCTGGGAATTCCCAAATTGTGTGAAAATTTAGCGCTAGGTTCCGTTTCCTGTATGTAATCCCCGCCCGTCCCCGTCGTTGTTTACCGTCCGATTCCCCTATGGGCAACAGCTGTGATCTAAAAACCCACCCTTGGAACAGGGAGGGGTCGATTTATGTTACTGGTCTCGTGCCATGTGCGAAACAACGTTGAGAATTTTTAGTTGCGTTCGATCTTTAGAAATACGCGCACGCGACACAATTCAACCCATCACCAATTACCCAACATCCGGTCCGGCATTTAAGTCACTTAACAGTTTTGAACTCTGACAGTAGTGACTGACTATGGCCGGCGTCAGCATGGTATCCCCCCAAAAAATCAACGACCGTCGCGAAATCCTAATCCTCCGCAAAACCCCCCAAGACGACATCCTCATCACCAACCGGAAGAAACCCAAATCGGGCGGGAAAACCGCCCCCCAACCCATCGCCGTGGCCCGGAGGAACGCCCGCGAACGCAACCGAGTCAAACAAGTCAACAATGGGTTCGCCAATTTGCGACAACACATCCCGAATTTCATCGCAGCAGCTTTCGAGTCCAACACGCGAGGAGGCAACAAGAAGTTGAGCAAAGTGGAGACCCTCCGCATGGCTGTTGAGTACATCCGCAGTCTGGAGGATCTCCTCGCCCTCGACGAGAGCAACGTCTCCTCCTCGACCTCCTCAATACCCTCACCGTCCACCACCGACGACTTGTCGACAAACCCCACGCCGTCGCCACACTACACCTACCAAATCATCCCCTACGTCGACGACCACATCCTCTGCGATCCCAGTCTCATGGACGCCGGTTTGGAGTTTAACGGTGCTCAAGACTTGTCCTTGTTGCATGTAAGTGACTCTTTGTCGCCGGGGATGTACAGTGAACAGAGTTTATCACCTGGGGGTAGTGATCAGAGAGGGTATTTCGGGGACGATGGGAAAAGTGACGACGTTCCGGTGATTTCACTCAAGAATGAAAACGAGCTGCCGCAGCAGCACAAGACAAATGTTATGGATGTCATGCAGTGGTGGGAACAGCAGCAGTCGCCGCGGTCGACCATTAGTTAGTGGAAATGATGGTAAGGAGGTGGAGCAGGGAGTTGCAAGGAAAACGACTCTCTGAAGGAGAAAAAATTACCGCCCGTAATGATATTTTAATACCAATTCAAAATTTAATTCAATGGTATTTAATTTTTATTTTCTGCAAGCCTTACATTGCAATTTTGACCTAGAAAACAAAACTACTTTGCGAAAGTCTAAATTGGAAATCAAATTATTTCATTTCGCATTATTTTGGCAAGTGTTGATTAGACATAATTAATTAATTGTATAGCCTACATTACTAATTTAATTGATTAAGTAATTAATCAAGATTTCCAATTCAACTACAAATTTATTCCTAACCTTATGTACCTCCACTTATCAATTCTTATTAAAAAAATAATCTAATTAATTAATTATTCCACTGTGGC